CCCCCCCCCCCATGTTACACTTACTGCAGTAACAGCACTCCCCCATTGTTATAATAATAATAATAATAATAATTTGAGGTTCTTATATACGGCTTTATTATAACCTAGTTCATAGGTCATCTCAAAGGGGTTCACAAGTCATTATCCGTGGTTATAGGACCTTTGCAACCAGCCAATATCTTTCTCAACTTCAAGGGGAGCATACAGCTGGTGCTGCCATTTTGTCACTCACAGCTATCATTCAACAATTCTAGCACTGCCCAATGCAACCACGTACTCATTTACAGCTGAGTAGATGGAACAAGCGGGGTTAAGTATCTTATCTTGTTCAAAGATAGAACACAGCACTGTGACGTGACTCAACCCTTCAGTCACAAGCCTGACGTCCTACCACTAGACTATTGTGTCTACCGTATTTATGTATTAGCAACCACAGAAATAACCCCCTTACACATACATCAAAACAAGAACTCTGTTTACCTTGCCAGGTCAATGTGAGTGGCTGTTCACTTCTGACCGACAATGCCCTGGCTTTGCTGTGTGAGGTTTCACCAGAAATATGCACTATTGATGCTTCGGGGACAAATGTGAGATACCTGAGAAACGTCTCCAAGAGGACTGTGAAGACTGATGCCTGTCCTCTAATAGACATCAATGAAGGTATGTACAATGATGCTTGTCCTCTAATAGACATCAATGTAGGTATGTACAATGATCCCTGTCCTCTAATAGACATCAATGTAGGTATGTACAATGATCCCTGTCCTCTAATAGACATCAATGAGGGTATGGACAATGATGCCTGTCCTCTAATAGTCATCAATGAAGGTATGTACAATGATGCATGTCCTCTAATAGACATCAATGAAGTGATGTACAATGATGCTTGTCCTCTAATAGATATCAATTCCAAGAGGACTGTGAAGACTGATGCCTGTCCTATAATAGACATCAATGAAGGTATGGACAAGGATGCCTGTCCTCTAATAGACGTCAATGAAGGTATGTACAATGATGCTTTTACTCTAATAGACATCAATGAAGTTATGTACAATGATGGTTGTCCTCTAAAAGACATCAATGAAGGGGTGTACAATGATGCCTGTCCTCTATTAGACATCAATGAAGGTATGTACAATGATGCTTGTTCTCTAATAGACATCAATGAAGTGATGTACAATGATGCTTGTCCTCTTATAGACATCAATGAAGGTATGTTCAATGATGCCTGTCCTCTAATACACATCAATGAAGGTATGTACAATGATGATTGTCCTCTAATAGACATCAATGAGGGTATGGACAATGATGCCTGTCCTCTAATACACATCAATGAAGGTATGTACATTGATGCCTGTCCTCTAATAGACGTCAATGAAGGTATGTACAATGATGCTTTTACTCTAATAGACATCAATGAAGCTATGTACAATGATGCTTGTCATCTAATAGACATCAATGAAGGAATGTACAATGATGCTTTTCCTCTAATAGACATCAATGAAGGAATGTACAATGATGCTTGTCCTCTAATAGATATCAATTCCAAGAGGACTGTGAAGACTGATGCCTGTCCTCTAATAGACGTCAATGAAGGTATGTACAATGATGCTTGTCCCCTAATAGACATCAATGAAGGTATGGACAAGGATGCCTGTCCTCTAATAGACGTCAATGAAGGTATGTACAATGATGCTTTTCCCCTAATAGACATCAATGAAGGTATGGACAAGGATGCCTGTCCTCTAATAGACGTCAATGAAGGTATGTACAATGATGATTGTCCTCTAATAGACATCAATGAAGGTATGTACAATGATGCTTTTCCTCTAATAGACATCAATGAAGTTATGTACAATGATGCTTGTCCTCTAAAAGACATCAATGAAGGGGTGTACAATGATGCCTGTCCTCTATTAGACATCAATGAAGGTATGTACAATGATGCTTGTCCTCTTATAGACATCAATGAAGGTATGTACAATGATGCTTGTCCTCTAATAGACATCAATGAAGGTATCTACAATGATGCTTGTCCCCTAATAGACATCAATGAAGGTATGTACAATAATGCTTGTCCCCTAATTGAAATCAATGAAGGTATGTACAATGATGCTTGTCCTCTAAAAGACATCAATGAAGGTGTGTACAATGATGCCTGTCCTCTAATAGACATCAATGAAGGTATGTACAATGATGCTTGTCCCCTAATAGACATCAGTGAAGGTATGTACAATGATGCTTGTCCTCTTATAGACATCAATGAAGGTATGTACAATGATGATTGTCCCCTAATAGACATCAATGAAGGTATGTACAATGATGCTTGTCCTCTAATAGATATCAATGAAGGTGTGTACAATGATGCTTGTTCTCTAATAGACATCAATGAAGGTATGTACAATGATGCTTGTCCTCTAATAGGCATCAATGAAGGTATGTACAATGATGCCTGTCCTCTAATAGACATCAATGAAGGTGGGTACAATGATGCTTGTCCTCTAATAGACAGCAGTGAAGGTATGTACAATGAAGCTTGTCCTCTAATAGACATCAATGAAGGAATGTACAATGATGCTTGTCCTCTAATAGGCATTAATGAAGGTATGAACAATGATGCTTGTCCTCTAATAGACATCAAAGAAGGTATGGACAATGATGCCTGTCCTCTAATAGACATCAATGAAGGTGTGTACAATGGTGCTTGTCCTCTAATAGACATCAATGAAGGGGTGTACAATGATGCTTGTTCTCTAATAGACATCAATTAAGGTATGTACAATGATGCTTGTCCTCTAGTAGACATCAATGAAGGTGTGTACAATGATGCTTGTCCTCTAATAGGCATCAATGAAGGTATGAACAATGATGCTTGTCCTCTAATAGACATCAATGAAGGTGTGTACAATGATGCTATCCAACTCCAAAAGGCCCTGAGATAGTTAAAGTCATATGTTCTGTACATGTTTGGATTATTATATACTAATATACTAGAATCAGGTTGTCTGTTTGTCCTTCCGTCTGTCTATCCATCTGTCTGACTGTCTGTAGACAAAATTTTGTCTGGACAATTCCTCGTATAGTTTTTAGCTGAATTTCATGAAACTTCACTGATGTAGTCATCATACTCTGAAGTGGTGCACCTGTGATTACTATTTTGATCTGACAAATGTTTTTGGGAGTTCTGTTCCTTCATGTTCAAATAATGTTCGCACCACTCCTCCCAAAGTATGGCACCAATTTTAATGACCCTTGGTACACAGAACCCTTATATTAAGGGAAAATAGATAAAGTATGTAAATTAATGTTACCTTCCCTTATTGTGGAGCTATGTATCTTTGTTTAAAATTGTGTTTTACACTACTCCTCCCAAACTAATGCACAGATTCGAATGATACTTGAAAGATGTAACACTTGCATTAAGATGATGTTATTAAAGTATATATGCTGGAGTTTCCTTCCCATTAGTGGAGTTATGCCCTAGCTTTTGTTTGAAATACTTTTGGAAAAAACTATTCCTATGGTTCTTGGAGCAGGTAGGTGGTATAAGTCTACCATTGTGCTGAAAGTTCTAGCTATATCAGTGAAGTCATGTGATCTTTTTGATTGGTGTATGACTTTGATTATTTAATGTATTTTGATCAGTATATCGCGGTGATATGTCATGTGCTCTATTTTGATTAGCGTGTAAGTACAGTCATGTAATCTGTTTGGATATTTTTTGCTGACAGGTAAAATGATGGTATATGAACGAGGTCATGTGATGGTGGTGCCCCAACCCTGTATCAGGACCAGTGTCGCCGCCTACATCAAGTCCCAGTCCAGTGTGAATAGAGAGCCTGTCCACCATACAAAACAGTGCAAGATGGGCAAGCTGGATGTCGCCCTCACAGAGATGACCTTGGACAATGTAGGTGATCCTTCAAAAACCAAAGCCAGGGGTTTGAAATATGTATATTGTTTAAAAACAAACTTTTTGCTGCAATGAAAATTTTGTTGTTAGAAAGATTTTTTGTTTTCTAACATTACAGGGTTATTTTATGGCAATTTCAGTCTTTTTTGTATTATTTCAGCCTCTCTTTGATGTGATGATTGGGAAGAATCCAGTGCAGGTTATAATTCCTTATGATGCAACTGCAGAGGTCAAGGACATAAAGAGTCATGTGATGGACACTATATCTCGGGTCGTGTGTAAGGTGAGGTCTACAACTCTGTATATCTTAGACACTATATCTCTTGTCGTGTGTAAGGTGAGGTCTACAACTCTGTATATCTCAGACACTATATCTCTGGTCGTGTGTAAGGTGAGGTCTACAACTCTGTATATATCAGACACTATATCTCTGGTCATGTGTAAGGTGAGGTCTACAACTCTGTATATCTCAGACACTATATCTCTGGTCGTGTGTAAGGTGAGGTTTACAACTCTGTATATCTCAGACACTATATCTCAGGTCGTGTGTAAGGTGAGGTCTACAACTCAATATATCTCAGACACTTTATCTCTGGTCGTGTGTAAGGTGAGGTTTACAACTCTGTATATATCAGACACTATATCTCTGGTCGTGTGTAAGGTGAGGTCTACAACTCTGTATATCTCAGACACTATATCTCTGGTCGTGTGTAAGGTGAGGTCTACAACTCTGTATATCTCAGACACTATATCTCTGGTCGTGTGTAAGGTGAGGTCTACAACTCTGTATATCTCAGACACTATATCTCTGGTCGTGTGTAAGGTGAGGTCTACAACTCTGTATATCTCAGACACTATATCTCTGGTCGTGTGTAAGGTGAGGTCTACAACTCTGTATATCTCAGACACTATATCTCTGGTCGTGTGTAAGGTGAGGTCTACAACTCTGTATATCTCAGACACTATATCTCTGGTCGTGTGTAAGGTGAGGTCTACAACTCTGTATATCTCAGACACTATATCTCTGGTCGTGTGTAAGGTGAGGTCTACAACTCTGTATATCTCAGACACTATATCTCTGGTCGTGTGTAAGGTGAGGTCTACAACTCTGTATATCTCAGACACTATATCTCTGGTCGTGTGTAAGGTGAGGTCTACAACTCTGTATATCTCAGACACTATATCTCTGGTCGTGTGTAAGGTGAGGTCTACAACTCTGTATATCTCAGACACTATATCTCTGGTCGTGTGTAAGGTGAGGTCTACAACTCTGTATATCTCAGACACTATATCTCTGGTCGTGTGTAAGGTGAGGTCTACAACTCTGTATATCTCAGACACTATATCTCTGGTCGTGTGTAAGGTGAGGTCTACAACTCTGTATATCTCAGACACTATATCTCTGGTCGTGTGTAAGGTGAGGTCTACAACTCTGTATATCTCAGACACTATATCTCTGGTCGTGTGTAAGGTGAGGTCTACAACTCTGTATATCTCAGACACTATATCTCTGGTCGTGTGTAAGGTGAGGTCTACAACTCTGTATATCTCAGACACTATATCTCTGGTCGTGTGTAAGGTGAGGTCTACAACTCTGTATATCTCAGACACTATATCTCTGGTCGTGTGTAAGGTGAGGTCTACAACTCTGTATATCTCAGACACTATATCTCTGGTCGTGTGTAAGGTGAGGTCTACAACTCTGTATATCTCAGACACTATATCTCTGGTCGTGTGTAAGGTGAGGTCTACAACTCTGTATATCTCAGACACTATATCTCTGGTCGTGTGTAAGGTGAGGTCTACAACTCTGTATATCTCAGACACTATATCTCTGGTCGTGTGTAAGGTGAGGTCTACAACTCTGTATATCTCAGACACTATATCTCTGGTCATGTGTAAGGTGAGGTCTACAACTCTGTATATCTCAGACACTATATCTCGGGTGGTGTGTAAGGTGAGGTCTACAACTCAGTATATCTCAGACACTATATCTCTGGTCGTGTGTAAGGTGAGGTCTACAACTCAATATATCTCAGACACTTTATCTCTGGTCGTGTGTAAGGTGAGGTCTATAGCTCTGTATATCTCACACTCTATATCTCTGGTCGTGTGTAAGGTGAGGTCTATAGCTCTGTATATCTCAGACACTATATCTCAGGTCGTGTGTAAGGTGAGGTCTACAACTCAATATATCTCAGACACTTTATCTCTGGTCGTGTGTAAGGTGAGGTCTACAACTCGGTGAGTGTGCTAATTCATCAATTAGCTTAATCTTAATAGATTTGATTATGCACCAAAATTTGATTTACTAATATAAGTATGTTCAAATTACACAGCTTACTTTCTTAAGATATGCATTAACAACAGTTATTGACCCCTGTATTGGTGAAACATGAGATTTTGACTACCCTTGACGGGTAATATCAACCAAACGTCAGTACAGCAATGACTATCTGTAATGTACAGGAAACCTATACATGCTAGCTCTCTCTTGTGAAACGTGTATAATTGTAATGGTTTGATACAGTTTTCTAAAGCAAACATGTGTGATTGAATTTCTCAATAATATCTGCAGCGTGTGTACTGCTCATTACATGAAATACATTTAGTTATGTTAGACAAATCCTATGAAATACATTTAGTTATGTCAGACAGATCCTATGAAATACATTTCATTATGTCAGACAAATCCTATTAAATACATTTCGTTATGTCAGACAAATCCTAAGAAATACATTTCGTTATGTCAGACAAATCCTATGAAATACATTTCGTTATGTCAGACAGATCCTATGAAATACATCTCATTATGTCAGACAGATCCTATGAAATACATTTCATTATGTCAGACAAATCCTATGAAATACATTTCATTATGTCAGACAAATCCTATTAAATACATTTCGTTATGTCAGACAAATCCTAAGAAATACATTTCGTTATGTCAGACAAATCCTATGAAATACATTTCGTTATGTCAGACAAATCCTAAGAAATACATTTTGTTATGTCAGACAAATCCTATGAAATACATTTAGTTATGTCAGACAAATCCTATGAAATACATACCGTTATGTCAGACAGATCCTATGAAATACATTTAGTTATGTCAGACAGATCATATGAAATACATTTCATTATGTCAGACAGATCCTATGAAATACATTTCGTTATGTCAGACAGATCCTATGAAATACATTTCGTTATGTCAGACAGATCCTATGAAATACATTTAGTTATGTCAGACAGATCCTATGAAATACATTTCGTTATGTCAGACAGATCCTATGAAATACATTTCGTTATGTCAGACAGATCCTATGAAATACATTTCGTTATGTCAGACAGATCCTATGAAATACATTTCGTTATGTCAGACAGATCCTATGAAATACATTTCGTTATGTCAGACAGATCCTATGAAATACATTTCGTTATGTCAGACAGATCCTATGAAATACATTTCGTTATGTCAGACAGATCCTATGAAATACATTTCGTTATGTCAGACAGATCCTATGAAATACATTTCGTTATGTCAGACAGATCCTATGAAATACATTTCGTTATGTCAGACAGATCCTATGAAATACATTTCGTTATGTCAGACAGATCCTATGAAATACATTTCGTTATGTCAGACAGATCCAATGAAATACATTTCGTTGTGTCAGACAGATCCTATGAAAGACAATTTGTTTATATTTCTGTTACCACAGTCATGTTCTTGAAAATGGCAAATTTTCTTAGATTGCTGCAGTTAATACTAAATGATCGAGTTATTAAGATTTACAAAGCTGTACATACATGGACACTCTTACTGATTGAATCATTGGACTCATGTGAGCATATATATATTCTCAAAAAAAATAGCAGGTTTAGCAGGTAAAAAATAATAATACAACATGAAATTATTTTCCCCATCTTAATTTTGACAGGAGACAGTCAGCCCCATATGGCCAGAGATGTCATTTGAGGGAGGAAAAGTGGAGGTGGAGGTGGACTACACGCCATTCATGGATGTGTATGCTTCTTGTAACCAGATAATGGTGAACAACACACTCAGGTAAGATGGGAGTGGACAATATACCCTGACACGCTGAGGGCAAGGTAATATACATACATACACAGATAGACTGAGGGTTAGGTGATATACATATGTACTCAAATAGACTGAGGGGTAGGTAATATACATACATTCTCAGATAGACTGAGGGCGAGGTAATCAACATACATACTCAGATAGACTGAGGGCTAGGTAATAAACATACATACTCAGATAGACTGAGGGCTAGGTGATATACATATGTACTCAAATAGACTGAGGGTTAGGTAATATACATACATACTCAGATAGGCTGATGGTTAGGTAATAAACATACATACTCAGATAGACTGAGGGTTAGGTGATATACTTACCTACTATGATAGACTGAGGGTTAGGTAATATACATACATTCTCAGATAGACTGAGGGCTAGGTAATCAACATACATACTCAGATAGACTGAGGGTTAGGTGATATACATACATACTCAGATAGACTGAGGGTTAGGTAATATACATATGTACTCAAATAGACTGAGGGTTAGGTAATATACTTACATACTCAGATAGACTGAGGGTTAGGTGATATACATATGTACTCAGATAGACTGAGGGTTAGGTAATAAACATATGTACTCAGATAGACTGAGGGCTAGGTGATAAACATATGTACTCAGATAGACTGAGGGCTAGGTGATATACTTACATACTCAAATAGACTGAGGGTTAGGTGATATACTTACATACTCAGATAGACTGAGGGTTAGGTGATATACATATGTACTCAGATAGACTGAGGGTTAGGTAATATACATACATATTCAGATAGGCTGAGGGCTAGGTAATTATATACATACTCAAATAGACTGAGGGTTAGGTGATATACATATGTACTCAGATAGACTGAGGGTTAGGTAATATACATACATATTCAGATAGGCTGAGGGCTAGGTAATTATATACATACGCAAATAGACTGAGGGTTAGGTAATATACATACATACTCAGATAGACTGAGGGCTAGGTGATATACTTACATACTCAGATAGACTGAGGGTTAGGTGATATACATATGTACTCAAATAGACTGAGGGTTAGGTAATATACATACATACTCAGATAGGCTGAGGGCTAGGTAATATACATACATACTCAGATAGACTGAGGGCTAGGTGATATACTTACATACTCAGATAGACTGAGGGTTAGGTAATATACATACATTCTCAGATAGACTGAGGGTTAGGTGATATACATACATACTCAGATAGACTGAGGGTTAGGTGATATACATATGTACTCAGATAGACTGAGGGTTAGGTAATATACATACATACTCAGATAGGCTGAGGGCTAGGGAATAAACATACATACTCAGATAGACTGAGGGTTAGGTGATATACATACATACTTAGATAGACTGAGGGTTAGGTAATATACACATGTACATAGATAGGCTGTGGGTTAGGTAATATACATACATACTCAGATAGACTAAGGGTTAGGTAATATACATATGTACTCAGATAGGCTAAGGGTTAGGTAATATACATATGTACTCAGATAGACTGAGGGTTAGGTGATATACATATGTACTCAAATCGACTGAGGGTTTGGTAATATACATACATACTCAGATAGGCTGAGGGCTAGGTAATGGTTAATATACCCAGACAGAATGAGTGCTAGGTAATATGCATATTTTTTCAGATAGACTGAGGGCTAAGTAATATACACACTCAGATAGGCTGAGGGTTAGGTAATATACATATGTACTTGGTTAGGCTGAGGGCTAGGTAATATACATATGTGCTCAGATAGATTGAGGGCTAGCTAATATACAAATATACTCAGATAGACAGAGGGGTTAGGTAATATACATACATACTCAGATAGACTGAGGGCTAGGTAATAAACATATGTACATAGATAGGCTGAGGGTTAGGTAATATACAGATATACTCGGATAGGATGAGGGCTAGGTCAATATACAGATATATTCAGATAGGCTGAGGGTTAGGTAATATACAGATATACTCGGATAGGACGAGGGCTAGGTCAATATACAAATATATTCAGATAGGTGTACTCAGATAGGCTAAGGGTTAGGTAATATACATATGTACTCAGATAGACTGCGAGGTAGTTAAGATACATACATACTCAGATAGGCTGAGGGCTAGGTAATGGTTAATATACCCAGACAGAATTAGTGCTAGGTAATATGCAAAAGGTGTCAGATAGACTGAGGGCTAAGTAATATACACATGTACAAGGTAATATACATACATACTCAGATAGACTGAGGGCTAGGTAATTATATACATATTCAGATAGACTGAGGGCTAGATAAGATACAAATATACTCAGATAGACTGAGGGCTAGGTAATTATATACATATTCAGATAGACTGAGGGCTAGATAAGATACAAATATACTCAGATAGACTTACATACTCAGATAGACTGAGGGTTAGGTAATATAGATATATACTCAGATAGACTGAGGGTTAGGTGATATACATACATAATTAGATAGACTGAGGGTTAGGTAATATAGATATATACTCAGATAGACTGAGGGTTAGGTAATATACATACTTACTCAGATAGACTGAGGGCTATGTATCAGATAGGCTGAGGGAAAGGTAACCTATATATGTACTCAGATAGGCTGAGGTCTAGGTAACATATATACTCAGATAGGCTGAGGGCTAGGTAATAAACATACATACTCAGATAGACTGAGGGCTAGGTAATTATATACATATTCAGATAGACTGAGGGCTAGATAAGATACAAATATACTCAGATAGACTGAGGGCTAGGTAATAAACATATGTACTCAGATAGGCTGAGGGTTAGTTATTATACAGATATACTCGGATAGGATGAGGGCTAGGTCAATATACAGATATATTCAGATAGGCTGAGGGTTAGGTAATAAACATACATACTCAGATAGACTGAGGGCTAGGTAATAAACATATGTACTCAGATAGGCTGAGGGTTAGGTAATATACAGATATACTCGGATAGGATGAGGGCTAGGTCAATATACAAATATATTCAGATAGGCTGAGGGTTAGGTAATATACATATGTACTTGGTTAGGCTGAGGGCTAGGTAATATACATATGTGCTCAGATAGATTGAGGGCTAGGTAATATACAAATATACTCAGATAGACTGAGGGCTAGGTAATTATATACATATTCAGATAGACTGAGGGCTAGATAAGATACAAATATACTCAGATAGACTGAGGGCTAGGTAATATACAAATATACTCAGATAGACAGAGGGCTAGGTAATATACAAACATACTCAGATAGACTCAGGGCTAGATAATATACAAATATACTCAGATAGACAGAGGGCTAGATAATATACAAATATACTCAGATAGACAGAGGGCTAGGTAATATACAAATATACTCAGATAGACAGAGGGCTAGGTAATATACAAATATACTCAGATAGACAGAGGGCTAGGTAATATACAAATATACTCAGATAGACAGAGGGCTAGGTAATATACAAATATACTCAGATAGACAGAGGGCTAGGTAATATACAAATATACTCAGATAGACAGAGGGCTAGGTAATATACAAATATACTCAGATAGACAGAGGGCTAGGTAATATACAAATATACTCAGATAGACAGAGGGCTAGGTAATATACAAATATACTCAGATAGACAGAGGGCTAGGTAATATACAAATATACTCAGATAGACAGAGGGCTAGGTAATATACAAATATACTCAGATAGACAGAGGGCTAGGTAATATACAAATATACTCAGATAGACAGAGGGCTAGGTAATATACAAATATACTCAGATAGACAGAGGGCTAGGTAATATACAAATATACTCAGATAGACAGAGGGCTAGGTAATATACAAATATACTCAGATAGACAGAGGGCTAGGTAATATACAAATATACTCAGATAGACAGAGGGCTAGGTAATATACAAATATACTCAGATAGACAGAGGGCTAGGTAATATACAAATATACTCAGATAGACAGAGGGCTAGGTAATATACAAATATACTCAGATAGACAGAGGGCTAGGTAATATACAAACATACTCAGATAGACTCAGGGCTAGATAATATACAAATATACTCAGATAGACTGAGGTCTAGGTAATATACAAATATACTCAGATAGACTGAGGGCTAGATAATATATTTATATATTCATACTACCATTGGCCTCAAGAAAATCCCTCTGAGACATCAGCCCAGTCAAATGGCCAGAATAATCGTCTGTTTTTTTCTCTCTCTATTTTATGGTTTATTATCCCGAATACAATAGGGAATACCAGGATGGGGCCTGGCCTGATCCCTGTACATAGTACATGTAGCATATTTATTCTCTGAATCTCTCTATTTTGTACGAATAATCATCTGTTAACAATCACTGGGAGGCTAATTTTATAATTAACAGTCATACTATGCAGATGAGCAATTCTAGCTATTTGATCGAGGAAACTCAAGTCAAATGAAACATGTGTCAGCGTCTCCATGGTCCAAACTTAGGCCAAGCGATTTGCTGAAAATATCAAAAAATCAGGGTCATCTGTGACAGTGATTAAGTAAACCTTACATAGGAGGTGTTTATATTTCATCATCAGAATAGGAGGTGACACATTTCTGCATTACCCTGATCCCCAACACTTTAGATTGGGTGTTTCAAATTATCTATAATGTGTTGTGATCTGAGTTGATATGATGCGACTTTTTCAGATAATAAAATTTTGATAGTAATTTTGGATACTTTGTTAAAAATATGAACTAGAACACATACTATATTTAAATAAGTTATGAAAGGAATTTAATAATGAAAGATAGTACCTGGCGACTGCCCCACAAAGGTCTCAAACCCGCGAACCAATGGTGGAGGGCTAGTGGTTGCAGAATGTCAAATGCCTTAAGGGCTTGGCAATTGGAGCCTGTCCTTCATGTAGCAATAGATCAGGTATATTTACCTGAAACCAATCAAACAGCTTACCACATGCCTTTGATTTTGTCCTTACATATTCCAAGGGTGTAGAGAACTTCATTGAGTGAAACCCGTGGACTTTTCAGAACTCCAGCTTTGGGTACAATTGTCATTCTTATTATGTTATTTCATTTTCTTTAACGAAACAGGAATTTAGGAAAGGGTGAGGTGATTGGTTGTTATTATTCCCGCCAAATGATGACCCGCTCACATCCCTATTACGAGGTGAAATGCGAGTCTGCTGACAGTGGTTCCGGGGAGAAAGTTGGTATCCTTGTTGGCTGTATCTTTGATGTCATCTGTCATAAACAGGATCCGATGGGAACTGATGTGGATGTCGGAGGGGAGGTAGAAAGGTAAGCTTGACAGTTTTTATCCCCCGGAAAACAATTTAGGGGGGGTGGGATAGCTGTCACATGGGGTGTCTGTCCGCCTATTTGTCTGTAGTGCTTGTCCAGATGATAACTTGAGAACAATCAACCATACAAAGTTCAAACTTAGTGTGCAGGCTGCCCTAGTAGATGCAAAGAACCCTATCGATTTTAGGGCATGGTCCACAGATGTCAAGGTCACCATTGCTAAAAATACAATTCTGCTTGGTTGGGCTTGTCTGAGTGACAACTTGACAATAAATGATCATGTAAAGTTTAAACTTGGTGTATGGATTGGTATGGTTTTATTTTGTTTAACGTCCTATTAACAGTTAAGGTCATTAAAGGACCTGCCTCCATGTGTGTAGAGTATGCGTGCTTGTGTGTATGTATGCAGGAGACAGGGTATGTTGATGTCTTTGCCTCCTTGTGATAGCGCTGATCTAATGCCGACTTTAAGAGTGTTAATTACCTCACTGAAATACCATGCCGAAGGCACCAAGCACAGTATTTCTCCTGTCCACATTATACTGACAACTGTTGTACCAGTTGTTGCAATAACCCTAAATGATGAATGTTTCACAGGGAATAAAAACTATGATTTTGTTATTCCCTGCATTGTGTTCAGCATTTAGGGTTATTGCAACTATTGGTTATGGATGGCCCTAGTGGATGCGAAGAACCCTATTGATTTTGGGCATGATCCGTCACTTGTCAATTAATGTCTGTATATACTCCACTGGTCTGTAGTGTAACTTGTAAATGGATGATTGTATAAAGCCTGTATTTCATGTTCAAAGAATGGGTAACATATCCCCATAGAGCTGTTGTAAAACAGATTGTACAGATCTTTGCACAAGATGGGATAGGAAAACACAGTAGCTGTCTGACATGGATTCAGGTATGAGTGTTTATCAGGAGAAAGTTTAGAAATCCAGCTTGGATACAGATTTGGGTGTTTAGGGACCAGGTGGAAACGTAAGCACATAGGCTTTTGTAATGATCTGTTAAATGTTTGTATGTTTTGGTGGTGTGGGTTGTAAGGATCAGTTAAATGTTTGTATGTATTGGTGGGGGGGGTTGTAAGGATCAGTTTAATGTTTGTATGTTTTGGTGGTGTCGGTTGTAAGGATCAGTTAAAGGTTTGTATGTTTTGGTGGTGTTGGTTGTAAGGATCAGTTAAAGGTTTGTATGGTTTGATGGTGTTGGTTGTAAGGATCAGTTAACTGTTTGTATGCATTGGTGGTGTGGGTTGTAAGGCTCAGTTAAATGTTTGTATGGTTGGGTGGTGTGGGTTGTAAGGACCAGTTAAATGTTTGTATGCTTTGGGGGTGTGGGTTGTAAGGATCTGTTAAATGTTTGTATGGTTTTGTGGTGTGGGTTGTAAGGATCTGTTAAATGTTTGTATGGTTTTGTGGTGTGGGTTGTAAGGATCAATTAAATGTTTGTATGCATTGGTGGGGTGGGTTGTAAGGATCAGTTTAATGTTTGTATGCTTTGGTGGTGTGGGTTGTAAGGATCAATTAAAGGTTTGTATGTATTGGTGGGGTGGGTTGTAAGGATCAGTTAAATGTTTGTATGCTTTGGTGGGGTGGGTTGTAAGGATCAGTTTAATGTTTGTATGTTTTGGTGGTGTGGGTTGTAAGGATCAGTTAAATGTTTATATGCTTTGGTGGTGTGGGTTGTAAGGGTCAGTTAAATGTGTGTATGGGTTGGTGGTGTGGGTTGTAAGGATCAGTTAAATTTGTGTATGCTTTGGTGGTGTGGGTTGTAAGGATCAGTTAAATGTTTGTATGGGTTGGTGGTGTGGGTTGTAAGGATCAATACAATACAGATATAATAGTTTGATGCCATATGAACACAGATTATTGTTCATAATTTTTATGTAATATGATGCTTTTGTTTTGTAGCTTTGAATGTGATAGCGGTAAGACCTATGGATTTGGTATTGATGGGGAATGGGAATCAGAGTATGTGCCAAGACATAACAAATACACATTCTACACCACCATTGACGGTAAACGTGTAAGTATTACATCTCCTGAAGCCTTTACACAGATGTTTTATGACTGGACAATCAAACAATTTGTTTTCATTAGATAAGTTAGTGTCAGAGATATATTACAAGAAGATAGAAAATAGGTTATATCTATATATAAGTATCTTAGTAAACCATTAAAGACGAAAAGTTACAGGATATTAGGATATTTCAAAACTGCATTGTCTAAATTTTGGGAAGTTTTAGTGAGTTTAAGAGACAAGTTTCATCTTAGTATCTGTTGCCATCTGTTGCCATCTTCTCTTTTTTTACAACAATTTCTTTTGAATAACCAATGTGCTACAGATAATGACACTCTGCCAGTAGCATGCTTGGGTACAGGATACTTAATTATCTCCCTTATTTCAAATCAATGCTCTTGACTTTCTTTTAAAGTCTCAAGGATCAAGTGTTGAAAACATTTTAGCAACTTTTTCATAATAACCTAGTGGAAAAGGGTAGTGGTATTCAGACTGTAGCATGCTGGGTTGAAGAACTGTTGAGTTTGATCATGTGAATGACCTTTTCCCACTCTCAAGGTCACATAAAAGTCCTTTTCCCACTCTCAAGGTCACATAAATGTCCCTTTTCCACTCTCAAGGTCACACAAAACCCATTTCCCACTCTCAAGGTCACATAAATGTCCTTTTCCCACTCTCAAGGTCACATAAAAGTTCTTTTCCCACTCTCAAGGTCACATGAAAGTCCTTTTTCCACTCTCAAGGTCACAAAAATGTCCTTTTTCCACTCTCAATGTCACAAAAAAACCTTTTCCCACTCTCAAGGTCACATAAATGTCCTTTTCCCACTCTCAAGGTCACTTAAAAGTCCTTTTCCCACTCTCAAGGTCACAACACGTCCTTTTCCCACTCTCAAGGTCATATAAAAGTCCTTTTCCCACTATCAAGGTCACAACACGTCCTTTTCCCACTATCAAGGTCATATAAAAGTCCTTTTCCCACTCTCACGGTCATATAAAAGTTAAATGTGTTAAAACTTTTACACACCTTCTGAATAACCAACAGGCTTTGGTGTCATGATATTTGGTCTGTAGCATTCTGGGGTGAATGACAATCAAATTGTTCAAATGAATGATCTTGGCCAACTTAAAAGGTTAGAGGGGTCAAATGTGTAGAATGTTTTATATATCTTTGCATAAACAAGATCATGATATTTGTCCTACTGTGTTCGGAGCTGAATTTTATTAAGCTTATTTAAATAATTGACTTTGACCTACTCTTAAGGTCACAGGGTCAGATTTGTTATAATCTGAACCTGTGTTCCTGATTAAAGTGTTATTAAGTTTTCTGTATAAGGTAATGGTATTTGGCCAGTAGCTTGTTGGTGTGACAGGCTATAAATTATATAATTTCATTCAAATGGATGACCTTTGTCAATCACAAACTATAAATGTGTCAAAAATGTACTCTAAAGTACCTTATGGCTATGTAACTGCTGGAATAGTTGGTTCAAATAAAGACCTTAGATATACTGGGTTTAAATCTTCCAACAAAAATCCATTAGGTGCAGAGTATGAATATTTAGTACCTAGTGTTGGCTTGCTATAAAATTTGTTTTTTGGTTGGCTCACTTTTTATACCGCCTGCAACAAAGTTAGGGGTGGGGTGGGGGG